GGGAGGAAAACCCTAATTTTAAACCTCCTCTCCCTTCGGTCATATCCAAACATGGCTATGAAAATAAATCCAGACAGAAAAGCCCGGAGTGGAAACTTTGAGTGCGGTTGGTTATCGACACTCACAATCCTGTGGCAAAGTCGGCCTCAAATGTAATGCCCTGTAGTTCTTTGGATATGGTACGGTTGAGGGGAGGACCATGTAGACTGGGTAACGATGGAGCTTCATATCCCATTGTCCAAGGCTGCGCTCTGGAGAGATGACTTCAGTCTTACCAAAAGAGGGCTGAATTTCGACCAAATAGGGCGCTATTTTTATTACCCGAGATAAACGGAAGCCTAAAGATAGCGACAAAGAATAACATATGAAAATATGATACAAGGATATAAAAACAGAAAAAATATGAATGTCTCACAGTAGAGCGTCTTATATTTGCTACAAAAATTTGCTTTGCAAACAAACAAAAAGCTTAATGAAAGTTCTTCGCGTTAGGTACATTGGTTTGCTTTGCAAGCGTCTATAATAATCAAAGTACAGTGTAACCCGGATATAAGAAAAACCCGGATATAAGAGAAACTCGGATATAAGAGACCTGGATATAAGAGAAACCCGGATATAAGAGAGATTTTCTCTGGTCCCAAATTAGAGCCTGTGTTACTGTATATAAAATAGACCAAACCCGGATATAAGAGAAACCCGGATATAAGAGACTTCTTCTCCGGTCCCGACAACTCTCTTATATCCGGGTTACACTGTACAAATGACGTTAGGTCAAGTTATAAAATACAGTCATCGAAACATTATTTAATCTCTTACACTCACAGAGAATCGACACTACAATATTCGGGTGTAAGAAAATGTTTCCGTGTGTCAACTGAATGACCTTCGCTATTTAAAACAGAGGAAATCCTACAAACGTTATTTAAGATAACACAAATATATAAGCCAAATGAAACATTGAACAATAAGGATAATCTATCATTTCAGAAATAGCAAAAAAATTGTGTATATATCAGCCAAGATGAAGACAATAGTTGGAATAAATCTGTGTATAATAATGATGAATCTTTATCTAAGAGATAGCTAAACTATACTGATTACAGTCAAGATTAGGACACTAATTTATTTTTAATCATTTCACCCTAAGCTAGGCGATAAAGCTAATAATACGACAGAAGATTACTGAGTGTGAAAGAATGAAAAAAAGAAAAACGTTATCAAGGAACAAAGGTAAAAGAAGAAGAATCAAGAAACATTTATTTAAATTTTTGAAGATCAAAGTTGACTGGAAAGCAAGAAGCTGGAAGAGAGTCTACAGGCGAGAAATTTGAAAGAAGAAGCTGTTAGCATAGAACTTACGGTTACAATTCAACTGTAAATTGATGAAACCTTGATGTCAATCTCGTAATGCGCTTAAACTCATAAATTCTAGGTACCATAGAAGAAAGTTCCCCAGAACATCATGAAAGTATTTATAGAAAAGGAACAACGAGGCTACATTACGGCGGCGTGAAAGTGACATAAAACAGGATGCCAGGCCAGAACCAACAACATTGCAAATTTTTTTTTTTTTTTGTATCTTATCAAGGATCTCTAATTGTATAGCAGGAGCACCGGACATTATGCGGCAGCAATATTCAAATCATGGATGAATCGTTGACTTATAAATATGTAAGATAGATTCAGGAAAGAAAATTTGTCCAGCACGATACAGAGAAGCAACTTTCCTATCATCAGGCTTAACAATTGATTCACTATAATCTTTTTTATGTTAGCAGATAACAATTTGAATAAATTAGTCTATACATATGAAAAGTCCTCATCTCAGAAATTCAGATAGAAATGAAGATAGAAATTTGACTCTTTTGGCACAATCCCCGAAGAAATGGAAATCCGATGAAGAATCGTAAGTATACAGAATATGGGCATTATTAAAATCACCTTTGATACTGAGAAGAATTCTGAAACATTAAGGAAGTAAGAGGATACAAATGAAAAGATTTGAAATTGAAAACTTTTCCATTTCACTGCAACAAACTTTAAACATTTCTATATTCCCTTCTTACTTCTTTCTTTCTTTATTTGTTTGCATCTTTCTCGCTGAAACCAAGTAGCGTCTCTGATATGTCTTTGCCGTCTTTCAGCGCAATCAAAACGGAATAGTTCATTATTTATGAGGTATTGAAAGGAGACATTAAACATTTCTTTCTTTTTCTCACTGAAACCAAGTAGCGTCACTGATATGTCATTTCTGGCGTTCCTCGGGATCAAAGCGGAATACTTTTTCGTTTTTCTTTCATTCTTTCTTTCTTTAAACCTAGTAGCGTCCATATATATATATATATATATATATATATATATATATATATATATATATATGGCGCAATGAATAAAGTGTGGTCTGAATTACGCAAAAATGAAAATAACACTGTCATTTCATTTTAACAACTATATTTACCAATACTGAAGAGTAAATCTATTCAATAAAATCGTCAATCACTTATAAAATCGGCCTCCAGAGGACTTCAGAATTTCTTGCATCCCTCCTGGAGTAACTACTTGCTTAAGTTGTGAATGCCGCCATAATCCTTGCCTTCAGTTCATCTTTGGTGTTACAAAGAGCTTTGTTGGTCTTTCGCTCAACTGCACCTCGCACGTAATAATCAAGGGGGTTGCAATCTGGGGAGTTAGGTCGCCAGATGTAAGGGGTGATGTGTTCGCAGAAATTGTCTGACAGCCATGACTAGGTTCTCCTGCTTGTGTGGCATGGTGCAGAGTCCTGTTGCCAGACATAGGGTTTTCAGTAGCTCCACACCCTTGACCCAGGGTAGCACTATCTCGTAAAGGCACTTGATGTAGGGATCCGTGTTCAGTCCGAGGCCCTGTGGGAAGATGAATGGAGGCATAATGCTGCCATAACTAGTGATCACTTCAAAGACTTTCGCCATCGCTATTAGACTCATCCTCTGCACCGTCCTCAGATAGACAGCGAAACACTCTGAAATGTTCCTATTCGAGCTTCCGGCGTGAATGATAAGCAGTACAGAATGCCGTTTCCAAATTTCTGGCGGAGTGAATTGCGTCATGGAACTTTTTTTTCTTTCTTTTTTTTTTTTTTCACAGACGATGCCCAACTGATCTTACTATACAGTGGTCAAAATCAAAAACAAACAATGCGCATGCGTGAATTTAAAAATATAAAAATGGCGACATTTACCGTGTATCTTTTCTGGCTTTCCTCTTGATCAAATTATAATCATTATTTATTAGGTATTGGATGGGGGTAACGTACGCCCTAACTAAGGAAAGAAGTGACACACAGGATTATAATACGATAATAATATGACGAAATATCTGACAAGAGGAATAACTGTTAGAGAAGAAACGAGGCAACCGACTGAACACAGAAAAAAAGGGAGATAAAATGTGAGAAGGAGATCTGGTCGACAAATTGTTGAGCTAATGTCTGGAAGAAGAATAATCTTGTATATGAACACATTGGGCAAATAAGCTGGTGAGGAGGAAAAATTGCGACAACTAAAACGCTTTAAATTATTTACGTTAAATACACAAAATAGAAACTTCCTTAAAAAGCATCGTTCGTCAACAGCGTGCTGTTCAATGTGGCCGCAGTGGATTATCGTTGGCGATTTTATATTCAATTGTCATCTTAGTGTTTATTTTAAGAGCTCATCACCGTGTTCAAGTGCTGGCCTTTTTCGCGACTAATGTTAGCACGAGACTAAGAGAAAAGTTTAATTCCACCAGACTCACCATTCCAAATTGTTTCAAGCCACATCAACCACTTATCTGCAGGCTAAATATTGACGCCATTATTGCAAAGTCAGTTCACTTTTTTCTTTATATTCTTCTTCTTTTTACCCTTTTCTTTTTTTTTTTCTGTCTATCTCTTATGTATATTTTAACCCTCTCTGTCCCTGTTTCCTTCTTCACTGCTTCAAATGTAGATTTGGGTGGGGGATATTCTTTAATCTGTTTTTCGCATTTTTCTATTTATTGTTAATTTATTGTCTTTTTCTTTTGTTTGCAAATTTTCACCTTCTTTGTTTTCTTCTTTTTTTTTTTTTCAACAATTTTTCTTTTATTTTTCACATTTTTTTTTTTTTGTTTTTTCTTTCTCTTTTTTTGGTTCTTTTCTTCTTATTTCTTAATTTGTTTTCATCCTCGTTTTAATTTACCTGTAAAGGAGTTGCCTTATTCGTTTTGTTTTTTTTTTCATCGATTTTTCTGCTTTTTTTATTCATAATTTCTTCGTTTTTCTTTTATCCACTTTTATATCACGCCTTTTTAGAAGTTTTGTTTGATCTGCCCTTTCTTTCTTTCTTTCTTTCTTTCTTTCTTTCTTTCTTTCTTTCTTTCTTTAGGACATTATTTCCTTTCTATTTCATTTACCTTCCCAGAATTTATCAATTTTGCCCTTCGTTTCTTTCTTTTTTTCTTTCTTCGTTGTTGCTTTTCCCTCATTTGCTTTCTCCGCATTGTTTTAATTTTACTTTACTGACTTTCTTTCCTCTTTATTCCTTTCTTTCTTCACTTGTCTTCCTAGATTTTATCAATTTTGACCTTTCTTTCATCCTTTCTTTCATCCTTTCTTTCATTCCTTTCTTTATTCCTTTCTTTCTTTCTTTTTCTTCCATCCTTTCTTCCTTCCTTCCTTTCTTTCTTTCGTCGTTTTTGTTTCTCCCTCATTCTCTCTTATTCGCTTTCTCCTCATTGTTTTAATTTTACTTTACTGACTTTCTTTCTTTCTTTCTTTCTTTCTTTTTCTTCATTTCTATTCCACTTATCTTCCTAGATTTTATCAATTTCGAACTTCATGTATTTCTTTCTTTCCTTCGTTGTTTTTGTTTTGCTCTTGTTCTCTCTTATTCGCTTTCTCCCCATTTTGTAAATTATTGCTTTACTGCCTTTCTTTCTTTTCAACATCATTTGTTGAATATTTTTACTTATCTTTCTAGATTTTATCAATTTTGCCTTTCATGTCTTGTTCCTTTTTTTTTTTGCATCATCTTTTCTGTTTTCCTTATTTTCTTGTTTTCACATTTTCATTTTTGTTTTCGTCTTTCTTTTTTCTTTTAATTAATTATAACCTCAATTTTTATAATTTCTACCTTCTTTCTTTCTTTTTTCTTTCTTTTTTCTTTCTTTCTTTTTCCTTATTCATTTATTTTACTACATTTTTATCTTTTTTTTTAATCTTTTTCCCCCTCATCATTGATTTGTTACATCCTCCTCTACCTATTCTTCTTCTTTCATTTCATCCTTCTTTCTTTTGCTTTCCTCTTCCTACTTTTTTTTTAATTTTAGCTTTGTCTGCTTTCCTGTTCGTTTGCCTACAAAGAAAATAATCGCGGAAACGTATTGCCATCAAGGATTTATTGACACATAACCATTGTTTGCGACAAGTGAAATCCACATTGTTATTATTTTTTTTTTCCTCTCTTTACACGCTGTGAAGTCCCGCTTTCGTTTCTTCATCACTTGGGCATCGCGTGAATTATCCTGGGGCAAATCGCCACGCGTCTTTCAGTCTGATTCATCTTTGAATATCTCAAGGAGCGGAAGCCGAATTTCTTTAGACATAAGATGACACAAGTTATGTCAGGTGAGTAGACATGGTCAGAAAACATTGTTGGCTGCACGCAAGTGAACATTTTAACACTTTCCCTTCAAATAATCAATAAAAGGCTTAGATTTGCCAAATAAAAGTCCTACACCAAAACATTTTCGAACTAAATCTTTTCTTTATAGTTCTCTTCTCTCTTTGTCACTTTTGTTGACTAGATCCTTCCTTCCTTCCTTCCTTCCTTCCTTTCTCTCTTCCTTCCTTCCTTCCTTTCTCTCTTCCTTCCTTCCTTCCTTTCTCTCTTCCTTCCTTTCTCTCTTCCTTCCTTTCTCTCTTCCTTCCTTTCTCTCTTCCTTCCTTTCTCTCTTCCTTCCTTTCTCTCTTCCTTCCTTTCTCTCTTCCTTCCTACCTTTCTTCCTTTCTCTCTTCTTTTCTCTCTTCCTTCCTTCCTTCCTTTCTCTCTTCCTTCCTTCCTTCCTTCCTTCCTTCCTTCTCATTAATTCAGACATTTTCTTTTTCTTTCTTATTTATCATGTGTTTACGAAATGTATGTGAGTGACTTTAATAGTATCTGCCTTAGGTAGAGATATTTGCCTAAACATTAAACAAATAACATCGAGAAAACAAAAAACAGATAAGAAGCTGGAAGGATGTAAATGATGGTTTTATTTATTTATTATTTTGTGTTTTCATATGACGGTAGTGTTTTGCCACACACCATGTCATTTTTCATAGGTTAGTGTTTTACCATTACCAGCATTTCCTTTCAGTTATGTTTCATTCTTCAGTAGCTTACAGTTGGTTAATGATAGGATTGTACCGAGGCAATTTTAGGTATGGTTGATCAGCTAATATCAATGTGGCATACCTCCAAATAGCTTCGCCAGTTTCGACAAGAAGTAGTTAGAGGAAGCTTTTAAGCGCCTATGAAACCGGACACTTTCCGTCTTCATTCACTTCTTTCTTTTTTTCTTCCTGACATGCTGGCGTGACAACGCCAACCGGAAATTTCCGGTTCATATGGATGTCTTTCCTCTTAGTAGCTGAACATCTCTCTCTCTCTCTCTCTCTCTCTCTCACACACACACACTTCCGCTTTTATTGTTTTCTTATATTCATAATAGTGTATTTTTTTCCTTTTTACTCAATTTAATTTACTAACATCACCTGTTGAATTTAATTCAATTTTCTTTACACCCGTCATTTATATGTGCAAAATACCGTTGCCACTGCTTTTAGTCAAACCAGAAGTAGTGACTGCAGTATTTGGTGTCCACAACGCACATTCTGCAACACGTTAAGCATCACCAGTACTTTGTTCCGATAATTCCATTAATAATAATAATAATAATAATAATACTACTACTAATAATAATAATGTTGTGATAGGATCCACCTAATTTGCATAGGGGAGTACCGACCATATAAATATGGTTGGTACCGGGAAGAGAGGGAGGAATCAAGAGATTCAACCAGAGACTCTGCCCGACTGCGACTCAGTCAACACATTCTCCAGGAACGGTCTTACCAGGAATATACAAAAGACTATATGTAAATATTGTGTACACTTTCTTGTTTCAATACATTTTGTTTGTTCTAAGTAACTTTTGTGTTGCATTATTATTCCATGCATTAGTCAAGTTTCAACAAATAATAATAATAATAATAATACTAATAATACTACTACTACTACTAATAATAATACTACTACTACTACTAATACTACTACTACTACTACTACTACTACTAATAATAATAATACTAATAATAATACTACTAATAATAATAATATGTGCTTTCTTATTGTCACGGCATTCCTTTCAGATTAATTTATCTTTGAAGATCTTAAAACAAAACAAAACCAATGAAAATCCAAGTATCTTGATGTAGATGAAGACATGACAAATGAAGACATCAGTAATTCCCGGTTGTGATTTGAGTTCTGGTTTTGTTTAGAAAAAAATCCAATAAACTCATTGAAGGGATTCGCTAGCAGTCCATGCCTTAAAGATATAAAAAAGATTGTTCTTAAAAGTAGAGCTCATGCCCTATGAAAGAATTGAGCAATGTAAAATGTGTATGCGTTCAGGTTATTTTATTTTTAAATAAAGTTTTTTTTTTTACACAAATGTGCAGTGGAAAATACCATGACATCGTTTCCAAAATTAGGTCTGTGGTTGGGACCTGAAATGAAAGAATTATTGTTATGGGACCTTACCCATAATAACATAATGGACTATTCCATACGTAATAAATACTGCGCCTCAAGAGGAAGCAGGGAGTTCAGTCTGAAGTCGGGCGACCGGCTGACCGAACTCTCTGCCTTCGGGCGGGGAGGAACTCGAACGAGGCTACGCTGAAAGGCGAAATCTCTTTCGGGGAGGTAAACCGACCCTGAACCCGTTTATATGGTTTCAAAGGGCATATTTTTGGCCGAGCCCACGGGCTCGGAGATCTCACGTTAAACCGGCCTTGTGCCACATGATGCCCTCGTGTGGGGTGGGGTGACTAAATACTGTTCAGTCTGAAGTCTGGAGTGAGTTCCAGCAGAAGTCTGTCAGTCAGTCAGAGCGAGCGAGTTAGTCAGTCGCGTCAGAGGCAGTCCGAAACAGAGTCGTGTTCAGACAATTACTACTAAACCTGATTGTTCGTACTAACACTTTCTACTTCTCTGTATATATTCCTGTTTGTAATATATCTGTGTTATTCTATATCCGTATTCGTGTTCTTCTTTATTGGTTCTACCTTGGACCATCACCGTAGTACAAGGAACCGGACCATAACAATTATATAACAGAAATAAAAAGGAAATAATAATAATAATAATAATAATAATAATAACAGAATTGCTCTTACTAAGTAATGAAATAACAGAAAATTTTAAGAAGAGAATGATCATCATCATGTTATTTATGTTTCCGATGTATTCCATTCACCCTAGCTGCGTTTCAATCTTTTTGTTGCGTTGATTACCAGTACAACCGTTATTCTCAAGACAAGCGATGTTTGTCCAAAGACTGTTTATTTATTATTTCATCGTAAGTAATTCAATTAAACCACCAAGACAAGAAAAGTGCTATTAAGGAGGGAGAATAATAAAAGAAGAGGAATCAAGGCGACAGTAGATAACAATTGACATTGCATTTAAATTTTCGAAGATTAAAGTTGGCCAAAAGGAAAAAGACAAAAGAAAATTCCACATGCGAGAAGTGCGAGAAAAGAAACTGTTAGCAAAGAACCTACGGTTATATCTAGTCAATTCGACTATGAAATGATGAGACCTTTCTGCCAATTTAGTACTGTGCTTGGATTCATAAAGTTTAGGTATCATAGAGGAAAGTTCATCAAAGCAAGTACCGTGAAAGCATTTCGAGAAGAATTACAGGAAAGCTATGGTGGTGGGAAATTGACTGAAACCGAGATGCCAGATCAGGACCAATAATATTGTTGATTCTTATTTGGATTTTATCAGGAATCTCTAAATATATAACAGGAGCATCGGACCGTATTCAAAGCAAGGACGAATGACAGGATATATAAGATAGATTCTGGAGATAAAAATTGTCTCTCATGACACAGTGAAATAATTATTAAGGAGTGAGAATAATAGAAGACGAGTAATCAATAAGACTATAGATAACGATTGACACTGCATCTAAATTTTTGAAGATCAAAGTTGACTGAAAAGCATGGAGACGGAAGAGAGTTCCGCAAGCGAGAAGTGCGAGAAAAGAAACTGCTAGCATAGAACTTACGGTTGCATCTGGTCAGTTCGACTGTAAAAGGTTGAGACTTTGCTGCCAATTTAGTACTGTGCTTGGATTCATAAAGACTATATACCATAGAGGAAAGTTCATCAAGGCAAGTTACATGAATGTAATTATAGAAGAAATACAGGAAAGCTATATTATGGCGGGGCTGGGGTGGTGTGGGGGTGGAATGACTGTTCAGAACAAATAACATTGCAGATTCTTCTTTGGACTTTATCAAGAATCACAAAATATACAGCAGAAGCACCGGACCAAATATAGCAGTAATAATCGAAGCAAGGATCAATAGGTACGATAGATTCAGGAGAGGAAATTTGTCTAGCACAACACAGTGCACCAGCTCTTCCAGTAGCAGACCTAATAATTGATTTAATGTAATCTTTCCACTTTATGTCAGCAGAGAATGTTAGCCTGAAAAGAAGCAACGTCACTAATCTGGAGATTAGCATCAGTCATGCTTATGAAAGGCAGAAAGAGGTCTCTCAGAAGAGCAGTTTTGTTTTGGAAGCATTAGAATTAGCAAGCTATTCTTTGCTCCAGTTAACAGCAGATTTTAGGTCACTTTTTATATCAGCTGCCATTTTGACTTTATCGAACCAATCAGAAAAGAATAAATGGTTGCGTCATCAGCATAGATACTGAATTAAGATTTAAAGCCATCGGAAAGTTTGTTGGTGAAAATAAGGAACAAAGTAGATCCAATGATAGAACTCTAGGAGACACCTGCATTAATCTAGAAGAGTGGCCATTTAAGACAACTTTCATTTCGCAATTTGATAAGGAAGATTGAATCACTTAAAAAATTCGTCCAGAAATATCATAACCTTTCAAAACCTTATGAAGAAGACCGGTATGCTAAAGCTTGTCAAATGCTTTCGAGATGTCCAAAGCTACAGACCGGGCTTCGCCTATCTTATCTAAAACTTGATAGGCTCTTTATGCAATAATCATTAATACATCAGCAATTGCTTATCTGAAAGACCCTGCGATTTGAGATGCTTAACCAATTTAGAGTTGATTAGGGCCTCTAATACTTTTCCAAAAGAGGTAAAAGGCTAACAGACCGATAGTTACAAGGATTAGACGATTCATCTTCGTTCTTATAGTGGAACTATAGAAGATGATTTCCAACAAGCAGGAAGCCGCCAAGCATTTATTGTAAAGTTTAGAGAGAACGGAAGTCATTTCAGAAGCACATTTTAAGCACAATTACATGGATACCATCAAGAACACATGCTTTATGGGGGATCCAGATTAGAGATGAAACAATGAAAGGGGTGATATCTATATCCGTCAACGAGACTCAGTTCTACGTGGAAAGTTTGGTAAAGGTACTCCAGATAATTCAAAAGAAAAATTTGAAGATAATTTACGAGCAAAGCGTACTGTTTTATCAGCAGATGTTAACATTTCAAATTGACTTGAGAGAGGAATAATAGAAAACTTACTCTTATTACTCTCTATTAGAGAGCCGTCAGTAGTAATGAGAGCCAAAGTTGTTAGAGGCTATACGGTACCTCATTATATCAGCAAAGATTCAGTCCCTTGGAGGACAAATTTACACTTATTACGTACAGACACAAATAGATTTCTGCTATGATCGGAAATTTCACACTGGTATAGCCGGAAAAAGGTGTTTTAATTTATATGTCTAAAGTTGAACATGTTTTAATTTATATGCCTAAAGTTGAACACATTTTAATATATATGCCTAAAGTTGAACAAGTTTTGATTTATATACCTTAAGTTGAACACGTTTTAATTTATATGCCTAAAGTTTAACGC